AAAAATCTCAGGATGAGTGATCAGTAGGCTGGATACCAGACATTTTGTTTCAAGGTCTTGTCTTTCTTCTCAGTATAAATTAGCAGTGAAGGGAGGCAAAGGAAAGGGGTCCATACATACACTGTCTTTGAGCTGTTATAATATTGAAAGCGTTCTTTTACAACAGTGTCTTGACTTCCCAGTTGTCCTGATTCTCTCACACTGCACCCTCCTCTACCTAGGACCCCTACAAATTTTCAGTGCAGCAACAGAAGTATTATTGCCTGTAATTCTGATCCCTTAAGGACCCCGATTTTTTGCTGTAGCTTTCTGTGGTAACTGGTGGCATTAGTGCTAATTACAATATTAAGTTATAAAAGTTATGCTTGGATCTAGACAGAGGTTAGAGTTATGTTTCTCATCACATTAATGATGATAGATGAATGAGTGGCTGGTTAGTTGACTGGCTGCATAGATTGAACAGCGAATTCATTGGTCAATGGAATTCAAACAATCTATGAGCAAATGGATGAATAGAAAGATAAGTACATTATACAGATAATAGATTTCATTGACGATGATAGATAACAGGTCAAATAGACATTGCATAGGTATGTAATTGGTAATAAATAATGGACTACTTTGAAAGAGATTGATATTTAGATGATACATTGATATCTACATAGATATAGCTACATGCCTAAATAATACATAAATGCATGATAGAGAATGACACCTGTAGGAAAGTAAACAGAGTGATGGTAGAAACACATTTTTAAAAATCTATTTCCCATTGGATCAGAAATGGATATGTACACTCTGTATTACAAGTGTATATATGTAATACTGAAGACTAAAAATTTATTAACCAAGAAAATTAGCAACTTCTTCACTTTTGTTAGCATACAACAAAGAATTTCATACTCTTAACTGAAAAAAAAATCATAAAATACCATAAATCTCCAAGTGTTTATTAAATCTCTGGGCTTATTATCATTGAATATGGCACTGTTATCTATTATGAGTTAATATTATGCAAAGATATAGCTTGTTTAGAAGAAGCCCACAAAGAGCTTATAGGAGAAGCTATCAGGGAAGTCAGGACAAAATAAAGACAGCAGACAAATAAGTGGAGGAAAAAAAATTCTACAAAGTACAAGGACATTTTTGAAATAATTCCAATTTGAAATAATTTTGTTGTTTTTTTTGGGGGGGTTAGTTTGTTTTGAAAATCAAATGCCCTCAAGACTGTCAATAGACTAAGGATTTAGGTGCTGCAATCACTCTGTGTTATGAAAAGTAAGCATTGAACATGGATACATAAAAAGAAAAAAAAGGTTTAAATATTTCTGAAGCTACCCTAAATAATGAGTTGTAATTTCATATTATATTTTGACTGCCTGGAAAGAGTTCCATTTAAGAAAGTGACAGTGGTCCTTTCTTTTAGACTTTCTTTATATTATCTGGACTATTATGCTGAAAACAATGATTATTTAACTTGAACATTTAAACTAGGGTTTTTTAAACATTTATTTATTTTTATTTTACATGCATTGGTGTTTTGCTTTCATGCACTTCTGTGTGAGGGTGTCTGATCTTGTAGTTACATTCAGTTGTGAGCTGCCATGTAGGTGCTGGGATTTGAACCCAGGTCCTTTGGAAGAACAGTCGGTGCTCCTAACTGCTGAGCCATCTCTCCAGCTTCCTAGACCAAGTTTTGAAAGACAGTTGCTTAACAATTTTAAATTAAACAATGTACCCTTAACTATCACTAAGTTTATTTTGTTATCAAGTAATTAATTACAAGTATAAATTAAAATACTTATTAGATACACTTATTAAGTTTATTACGAGAATTTTAAAACAACAATTTCTTCCCCTCCTCCAGATTTTCCTTTATATTTTATAATTCACTTTTTCAGGTCATGCTTTATAAGTATGTGTTATATCAAAAAGTGAAGAATAAAAACAAAAGTATTCCAAACTATAAAACAGACAAACAAAAGAAAACATGAAATATAAGGTCTAAAGCAAACTGATCTCTTTGATAGAAATTGCCAACCCAGTGGTAACAAGAGCCATCGAAATCCAAACTGCAAGCAAATGAACTTTGAAAAATGAAAGTACACATAAGTCCATGCTCTTTAATTCCTCTCATTTAATAGTACAATTTGATAGAGAAATATCTGTAAATAGCATATGCATACATTAAGTGGAAACCAGAAACATGTAAAGCACTTACAAAAATGGAAGGATTATAAATTCTCAAATTAAATATGAGTTTGAGTGATTTAGACCTTTCATTCACAGGAAATGTAAAGCTGAGAAGTAGCAGAAGGCACACTCTAAACTTTACAGATGAATATGCCATTTTGCAGTCCAGTGAATCAATCAATGGATATAATTCACTTTTTGTCTTTCTCTGGTATCCAATAAAGTTACAACACATTTATATTTCAAGATTATGTTGTCAGTGTCCATTTTATGGCAGATTTTCTTACGCTTTAGATTCTGGAAAAGGAGAGTGTTGCACAGAATTGTATATTTTTATGTCTTGAAAATTCAGACTGTTTTGTCTGAGAGGGTATCTGAAAGCATGTATGCAGGAAAAGCCACAACCTACACTTAGATGTATTTGCAAGGTGCAGCATTTGATTCTCTAGTTTGAAACCTGACATTGAATATGCCAAGGCATAATAGGAAGAAGATTCAGGAATTTGCCGAGAAAGCAGCTCTAGATGGTAATCTTTAGTAAGATGTCTAAGTTTCCATCATAGCACAGACTTGGACAATCACTAAGGCACACATATGTGGAACTGAAAGCAAGAACAGGCTGGAGAGATGGCCCAAAAGTAAATAGAACATGGACTGGCTCTTCAAAGGACCCAAGTACATTTCCAAGTATGGAGTCTTACTCCCACATGTAACTCTAGCTGCAGGACATGCAATACCTTCTTCTGTATATTTGAACTCATACACACAGTGATCAGTGCACCCATATACTCCTGCACATGCCATGTACACACACACACACACACACACAGAGAGAGAGAGAGAGAGAGAGAGAGAGAGAGAGAGAGGAGCAAAATATTTTTTTTAAATCTCTTTAAAAGAGAGAAGGCTATTACAAATAAAGCTGCTACAAACATGGTTGAGCAAATGTCCTTTTTGTGTACTTGAGCCTCTTTTGGGTATATGCCTAGGAGTGATATGGCTGGATCTTGAGGAAGCGCTATTCCTAGTTGTCTGAGAAAGCACCAGATTGATTTCCAGAGTGGTTGTACAAGTTTACATTCCCACCAGCAGTGGAGGAGGGTTCCCCTTTCTCCACAACCTCTCCAGCATGTGTTGCTACTTGAGTTTTTTATCTTGGCCATTCTGATTGGTGTAAGGTGAAATCTCTGGGTTGTTTTGATTTGCATTTCCCTAATGGCTAATGAGGTTGAACATTTCTTTAAGTGCTTCTCTGCCATTCGATATTCCTCTACAGAGAATTCTCTCTTTGGCTCTGTTCCCCATTTTTAAGTGGTTTACTTGGTTTGCTGCTTTTCAGCTTCTTTAGTTCTTTATATATACTGGATATGAGTCCTCTGTCAGATAAAGGGTTGGTGAAGATTCTTTCCCAATCCTCCCCTATCAATGGACTTGGGGAGGGGCATGCATGTAGAAAGGGGTTGAGGGTCGGACCTGGAGGGTAGGAGGGAGGGGCTTATGGGGGGATACAAAATGAATAAAGTGTAATTAATAAAAGTTAAAAAAAAGAACACTTAACAAAAAAAAAAGAGATAGAAGGCAAATGCCCAATAAGACATGATTTTTTTTTAATTACTTCATCTGTCAGTCCATATTCAGTAAAGCCAAAACTAAAGGTCACAAGCTGCTTTAGATGAATGAATCCCCAAATTAAAGAAAGCCATCAGCAACTTCATTATTATTCACTCTAATAAATATTGTTTAGAAGAACTCTAAAAGGTGATGGAACTTTGGAGTGCATTAAAAATTTGTCACCTTGCCCTAGTGTGGTTTGGGGTCAGAACAGGCAGGCAGCTCATGAGTTCATAATAGTTCATCAAACTATATACTTCAGGTGAGTGGAGACAGGTGGTCAGAATGACTACACTTGGCCCTTGCCTCTTTGTGAACCTGTGTGCCCACACACATTAGTACACTTCGCCTTAAAAATGACTGTGCTCCTTCCCCAATTAAACTGTTAGGGATGGTGATATCTGGTTCTCCTTAGATATGAGTGCCCCTGGATGCATTGCAACTGGCATTTTTCTCTCTTCATATGTCTTCCCAGAATTCTTCAAGCAACAATCCTCCCAATACCTAGCATCATCATAAAAGACTATATACTGTCTTTGCATTTAGTCTCTCTAAGCCTCTGTTTATTAATATATGCATGAAGGATGAAAATGCTTTACATACTAAAACCAAAGGTAAAAAGATGAAACTATGTTCTACAGCCCACACTGCCCACCAGACACGTCACTATAAAGGGGCGAAATAGTATGTAAGAAAACAAAGAACATTTGAAGAGATGAGGAGTGTGAAAGGGAACAGAAAATCCTGCCTTTTCAAGCTTAAATACACACTCCTTGTTATTTAGCGTATGCTTTTTTAATCTTTTAGTTCACACAATAATCTTGAATGAAATAAATTATAAACAACAATATTTGAGGCTATTTTCTAAGTTATAAGCCATGATATATAATGTAGACTCTCTGGAGAAATAAGGGCAAATTTTAATGGAATTACCTTCTATAAGTTTTATAAATTCTCCTGCTCAAGGTCTCACCTTCAGCATTTCTCTCATTTCCTTTTGCAGTAATTAATCAAAATCCTTCATTTCTGGCCAATATGTCTTCCTGAATATGAATAAGAAATAAAATACCATTTGATGTTTAAAATTATGGGGGCAATCTTTAATGACGGAAATAGATGACTCAGGAGGGGGAAGAGGATGCCTGATTATATATATTCATCAAGATGTCAAAGGTTTATAAAGCCAGTATCTGCGATTGAGAAAGCTGTGGTTCTCGCAAGTCTTCTTTGGTGAAGTGTATTCCCAGCAGGCATCACCACCATGAACAGCCAGGGGTCATCCCAGAAAGGTATGTGCTGCAGCTCAGTGAATAATTGGCTTTCTCGGTATTCCTAGTGTGGCATGAGGGTGTCTAATGTGAAAATTTCTGTCTTCCATTTTTAAGCGTTAGAGGGAGTTGGGGAATACTGGGGATGTTTTTGTCCAGACATGGCATGACCAGAACTAACAAGTACCTAAGACAGCTGTGGCGATGTACAACATAACTTGGTCCCTTATTTATTTATAGCAAAAAAGAGGGAAAATACAGAGATACATAGGTTCAGAACAAAGGTGACAGGCTTGTTGACATTCCTCAGAAGTAGATGGGGGCATGACAGGACACTCACCTTGCACTCCACCTATGAGTCCCCACAATGCCAAGGTTAGTTTCTCAGAGGTGCAGCTGTCTTTGAGTTAACAAGGGAGTTTAGAAGAATATCCTATTCATTGATTTAGCAATTATCCCTATCTATGCATAACAGATTATTAGATCAGTGGCTCTCTAGTGGAAGAGACATCCTTCTTCAAGAGATATGATAACATCAAGAGATAATTTGTGCTGGCATAATAGAAGTAAGGAAGTTAAACGGAGGGTGCTGCTGGTAGCTAATGGATAGAAATCATGGATGCTCTGAAGCATCCTCTGCTGCAGAGTCAGCTTGAGAAAAAAGTTGGTGTTGCTGAGACAGAGAACTTGGACTGACACAGACCACAAGAACCTTGGGTCTACCTGTCACAAGTCCAGGTATCTATATAGGTAGGTCAGTTCTAATAAATTCGACAAAATCTTCAATGATGCAGGCATAATGAATCTAACGATAGCAGGTGTCTGGTTTACTCTTCTCTGACAATTTGAAACCAAAGGACACTTCAATAGAAAAGGAAAAAAAGAGGTTAGTACTAACTAATTGCCTTTACCTTCTCAGCGACATATGAAAAAAAAAAAAAACAAAAAAAAAACATAGCAACATAAAATTTGTTTTGTGACAAGTATAAGAAAGGCGCTTTTAATTTTATCTTATCTCAAACTTAAAACCCCTTAGATGATATATACTCAGATAAATGTACTCAGAGTTAGAGCATATCTATCTAGTTGTGAATTATGAGCTACTGCTACTGCACCATTATCTGCAAAGAAAATTTCTCTCACACATGTAAACTATCAAGTCTCCTTAAACAAATACACAAACATACACATAAATATATATTTTCTTTTTTATATTACATAAATACATTTGAAGCATGTTTTTGGAAAATTAGAACTATTTTACAAGAACTATACACCAATAACATTTTAAGTTTTCAGCTAATAGGCTATTTAGTAGCTCTGTATAGTAATTATTTTTGTGGTTAACATTGAATTAAAAATTATTAGAGGTTGTAATATCAAGAGACTTCCATGATATAAAATTCTCTTAAGAGAATGACTTAATACACTTGTTCAGGTTAATTTAAGCTCAAAATGTTTGCAAAGTGCACAAGCACTTCTGAGATGAATACAAAAGGACAAAAGTCACCCTCCTTAAACCATATAGCTGTGAAAACGTTAATATATGGACAAGCGTTGATGCGGAAGACGTTGACTCTTCACCACAGATCCAGTCACATATGGAAGGTGCTGGAGATGGCTATTCGGTTGAATAGATTGTCCCCCACTGGTTCCTGTGTTTATTTAGCAGGAAGACTCCTCCTGATGGTGATCTCAAACCTGCTGTTCTGCCAAAATGTGCACCCCCTGCCAATCTGTCCCAGTGGGGACTGCCAGATGTCCCTCCGTGAGCTGTTTGACCGGGTGATCATGCTTTCCCACTACATCCATAACCTGTCTACAGAAATGTTCATCGAGTATGTAAGTACCTTACTCATTTCTGTAATCTTTTCAAAGGGTGTCTTTGCAGCAACTGTGCTCTGATACAGCTTAAACAACGATCCAGACTTCAAATGTGACATCTTCTTGGGGAAAAAAAAAAATCATTATATAAAATTGCACAAGGAGGAATGGACAATTTCACAATTTCTTAAATATTTACAAAAGTGAAATGACTTTCAATAATTTGTAATTTGGGCTCTTAAGTGTTAGCTTGAGGTTTTACGCGCTCGATGTGGCTGGAGTTGGGAAGACTTCACAATCTGTATCTGTGGGTCCAGGCTCCAGTGACATTTTTCTCTTAGTGTTTTCAAGTGCCCAGTGACTAAGAACACCATGGAGTAGTAAATTCTTGGATGGGCTAGATTTAACCTAAACTGAAACCACATGGGAAGAGGGAGAGTAAAAATAATCACTGCTCCAACAGCCCCAAATGTTAAGAGCCGTTTGTTAAAACTTTCAGAGCATGGTTTCAGTTCAAGTAGGAAGCCTGGTTCAGAAGCAGAGAAAGGTCCTCTCTTGATGCAGGCCTTTCAGAGGACTTAGGTATAGAACCTGGGAGTCAGTCTACAAGGCCAAAGTCGCTGAAACTGTCAGTAACTAGTGCATGTACATGAAGTGGCTCATAATTTGCAATAAATATAAATTTATAATGGTCTCTTTACTCATTAAAATTTCTTTCAGTTATTGACTGTTCATAATTCACTTTAGAAATCTTCCTAGAAATTCTTGCAGATTTTCAGAATTTCTACTTAATTTTAGTTTATTGTAACACTTTATAAATAAATTAAAAATGAAGGAAAATATTCAAATCATTAAATATTAATTACAATGTATATGTTAAATAACTTTTCTATTTCAATTTCTCACTATTTGGCATCTTTCAAATATGTATACCTGGTGCTTCATGGCTTACTTTGTATTAGTCCACATACTTATATTCAATATTTATGAAGAATTTAGTACTTACTTCAAAATATAGATTTAGAAATACTTAAATTAAAGGCTATTTTCATAATGCCCACTAAAAAGCATCATATCAATCTAAAGGTATAATAAGCAATAAATAAATAAACATATAAAATATGTGATATAACATTTATTTTCAATATGAGAAATGACATTTAAGAAGATTTTTATATTTTAGGTATTTTTATTGTTTATTTTCCAAATAAAAATTTCTATAAAAGATCAGACAAGGAAATAAAAAAGTACAGACTAGGACAGAAGTTTAGACATTTCTGTTAAGAAAAAATATAACCAAACCTTCAGGAGAGTGCAGGAAATCATATGAAAGAAGGGAAAGTTAATATGACCTGGAGAAGACAGGAGCTCCACAAGGACCAAATATATCAGGCCACAGGGTCTTTTATGAGACTGTTTCTCCAACCAAGGACCATGTATGGATATAACCTAGTACCTGTGCTCTGGTGTAGCCCATGGTAGCTCATTATCCAAATACCCTATTAAGGGGAGCAGGGAATATTTCTGACATGAACTCAATGGCTGGCTCTTTGACCTCCCCTTCCCCCCAAAGGAGGAGGAGCCCTGCTAAGCCACAGAGGAGAACTTTGCAGCCAGTCCTGAAGAGAGCTGATAAAACAGGGTCAGATGAAAGGGGAGGAGGTCCTCCCCTATTAGTGGACTTGGAAAGAAGCAGGGAGGAGATGATGGAGGGAGGGAGGGGTTGGGAGGGAATGAGGGAGTAAAATACAGCTGGGATACAAAGTTAATAAACTGTAAGTAATATTAAAGAAATAAAAAAATTAAAAAATATAAAAACAATTGACACATAAGTAGGAAATGGGTTACTTAATTCATTAATTTCAAGTGTTAGGCTTTTAAAAATTAAATGTCCATCACGTGAATTAACATTCTTGTTCTAGGTATTTTTTTTTTTAATTCTCAAACTTTGCTAATGAAAATTTTGTGTCATTTCCAGGACAAACAGTATGCCCAGGACCGTGGGTTTATTGCCAGGGCAATGAATGAGTGCCCCACTTCTTCCCTGGCTACCCCTGAAGACAAGGAACAAGCTCAGCAGATCCCTGTGAGTCCTCACCCCAGTTTATTTGTGATATAACTGAGGCAGTATACTGGTTTTGGTGTACTTCATGTTATTAGAACACTCAGAGTTTTAGTAATCCTCTAATCAAAGAAAGGAAGAATGAAAGAAACAAACAAAAAGAGGAAGAGTGATTTGCCAAAACAAATACACATTGTAGAGTGGGTAAAAAAAAGTGAAATACTGAATAACACTGTAAGTGAGCCATGAACTCTTCATGACAATGACATTGCATATGTAGTCCTGTAGGAAACTTTGAACTCTATTTTATAATCATGGATAAGTTGACATTCATTCATACGTAAGATATGCTAAATTAGGTGCGTTTGTTCTACATTATGGAAACCCATCCATTGACAGTCTCCATTACTGATCACTGTACCTTCACTTTTTAGCTTTAAAATTCTCCTAGTCCTGCTTCTGCGAATTTACCTACATCTGCATTCTTCCCAGACTTCTTTGCCTTCTTCTCTTTCTTCAGAAAATAAGGAATAGTGCTACCTCAAGATCCAGCTATACCACTGCTAGGCATATATCTGAAATATGCTCAACTATACCACAAGGACATTTGCTCAACTATGTTTGTTGCAGCTTTATTTGTAATAGCCAGTACATGGAAACATCCCTCAACTGAGGAATAAATACAGAAACTGTTATAATTTACACAATGGAATACTGCTCAGCGTTTAAAAACAAGGAAATCATGAAATATGTAGGCAAATGGATGGAACTAAAAAAGATGATCCTAAATGAGGTAAACCAGAAGGAGAAAGACACACATGGTATATACTTATTAACAAGTGGATATTAAACACATAATACATGATGAACATACTAAAATCTATAGTTCTGAAGAAGCTCAGCAAGAAGGAGGACACTAGGGAAAATGCTTAAACCTCATTCAGAAGGGCGAGCAGGATTAATATCGGAGGTGGGAGAAAACAGGGAATAGGACAGGAGCCTTCTACAGAGGGACCCTGAAAGATTTTATCCAACAGGACATTGTAGCAGATGCTGAGACTCAGCCAAACTTTGGGCAGGTGCAGGGAATCTTATGGAAGAATGGGGAGATAGAAAGACCTAGACTGAACAGAAACTCCACAAGAAGACTAACAGAGCCGAAAAATCTGAACCCGGGAGAGGAGGGGAATGGTGCATGGAAAGGACATAGACTCCCTGCTTAGATGTAGCCCATAAGCAGCTCCATCTCCATGGGGGTTTCCTAATATTGGGGCAGGGGCTATCTCTGACATGAACTCAGTGGCCAGCTCTTTGATCACCTCCCCCTGTGGGGTGCAGCCTTGCCAGGCACAGAGGATACTATTGACTTTGAAACAATTTATCCCCACAAAAAAATTCCTTGTTGCAATGTGTTATTATTTCATTTGATGGAACCTACATTGCTATTAACATTTGCCTCCTATTACTTCTCCTCATATCCTTTATGCTTTTTCAATATAATATCCCTTGAATCTCTCTCTACTCCTCGTTTTCATTTTCATCTGTGTTCCTCGGATACATCTGTACAGTAAGTGTTTCAAATCATGGATGATTTTTATGTATGGTTTTGGGAGTGAGCAGACAGACACAGGTGGGTCAACCCTCCACTGGGACATTCATGCATGCTTGTATTTACACATGATGCGGTGTCATTTTTCTTCACTTGTTCTTACCAACCAATGGGACACTCTTCTAGAAGTGATAGAAATGAAGTCATGGAGACTGTGGAAAGTACCATCTTGAGCCACATACTCTTTTTTTTTTTTTTGTATTATCTTTAAGTTTTCTAAAATAAGATGAAAATATATTCATGCAATGATCAATCTTATTCTTTAGTGTGAACATGATTTGGGTCAATAGTCATTGATAGTGGTGGCACCTATCTTTCCTGACACCCTCTTGGAACCTACTAAGTCAATACCCACTGAGTGCCACCAGAGTTTTGGTTTGTTATGGACCTGAAAACTAATGAAGTAGAAAAAGACTCACAACGAGGGAAGATGGTAGAATTTCAGAGGGAAACCAAAACACCAAAAATTTGATATCTTAGTATAAAAAGTGTCATTTAAAGGTTAAGAAGATTTAAGTCAGTTAAGTTTTTCTATATAAGTATGAGGATCTGACTTTAACTCCCAAAACTTACTTTTAAAAAATAAGCATGGATGTAGACAGACATGGTGGTGCCTGCCTTTTGTCCTAACACTCAAAAACAATTTCTGTTTTCGATCAGAAAAGCAACAAAACAGACAAACAAACAGAACAAAAACCCTTGGGGGTGCATACTTGTAAGCTCAGCACAGGAAAAGTGAACACTGTAGGGCAATCAGCCTATGCTACTAGGAAAGTTCCTGGCTAGAAAGATACCATAAGAGGTGCTCAGAACAATAGCACCCAACTTGGTTCTCTCACCTCCAAAAACATTTGTATGCATACTTGAGTACATGTGCAAGCACACACTAAAATACACACACTAACACACATGTACAGAGAGACATGGATACAGGATGAAAAGTAGTCCTTTAAATAAGTATTTTTTTTTTTTTTACTTTTGCAAAGTATATATGAATAGTTGTTTTATGTTTTACAGCATTTGTCCTCTAAAACCACACTCATATGCACATTGTTACAAGAGTGAATGTTTTAGTTCGGCCGCTATGAACAAAAACCTGTGTAACCATCTCTGCTGTATTTCACTTACTTAAATTATTGTTCAACTTGATCGCTTAGCCGGAAGTCCTTCTGAATCTGATACTCAGTTTGGTGCACTCCTGGAATGACCCCCTGTACCAACTAGCAACTGAAGTAGGTGGCATCCATGAAGCCCCAGATGCTATCATATCAAGAGCCAAAGAGATTGAGTCACAAAATAGGCGTCTTCTAGAGGGAATTGAGAAGATTCTTAGCCAGGTAAGCAGTCCCTTGAACCTACAGTACTTTTCTTATTCACAGAAAAGCTTATCTCTACAATGAGAAACAAATTTTGAAATACTTTCCTTTGCAAGAACAAAGTTTAGGCATTCTACGTTGTAGACTTCTAGTAAAGCAAGTGCAAATTTTTTATTACGGTAGATTCTAATGTCTCTGAATTTTGGAATTCATTTGTGGTATTTGACAGGTGTGGCTTTCTCGAGGTTTAATCCTCATTCAGAGGGGCAAATGGGATAAACATCGAAAGTGGGAGAATACAGAGAACAGGAGAGGAGCCTTCCGTAGAGGGCCTCTGAAAGACTGTACCTGATAGGGTATCAAAGAAGATGCTGAGAATCATAGCCAAAGGGCAGAGTGCAGGAAATCTTATGGAAGAACAGGGAGATAGAAAGACCTGGAGGGGACAAGAGTTCCACAAAGAGACCAACAGAGCCAAAACATCTGGACCCAGGGGGTCCTGTAGAGACTAACGAATCAACCAAGAAACATGATTGGAGAGGACCTGGATCCCTGCTCAGATGTAGTCCATGGGCAGCTCAGTCTCCATGGAGGTTCCCTATTAAGGGGAGCAGGGGTAGTCATAGGGATGAACTTGGTTGCCTGTTCTTTGACAACTCCCCCTGATGAAATGGTCTTACTAGGCCACAGAGAAAGAGGATCCAGACAGTCCTGATGAGACCTGATAAGCTAGGGTCAGATAGTAGGGGAAGAGGACCTCCCTATTAATGGACTAGGGGAGGGGCATAGTGGGGAAAGGAGGGAAGGAGGATGGGATTGGGAGGAGATGAGGGAGGAGGCTACAGCCTGGATACAAAGTGATAAAATTGTGAAGAAGGAGGAGGAGGAGGAGGAGGAGGAGGAGGAGGAGGAGGAGGAGGAGGAGGAGGAGGAGAAGGCGGCAAGGCAGGAGGAATGTGAACTCAATACCAGCCCAGAATATACAAGAAAAGAAAACATAAAATAAATAAATAAATAAATAACCGATTGCTGAAGATTTTGTGCTTACTACCAACACAACCAAGAAATCAAGCTGGGTCTGACCTGGAAGGCTCTTACTTCTTTGTGGCTTTCATGGTCCTGGAAGCTGTCATTCAAACTTCTAGAAGAGAATTGTCACCAACACCTACCTGTGAGCACTGTGCTCTGCACTATCAACATGTCCCTTAAGATAAGCCTGGTGGCATAGTAGTGATATGGCTATTTTATGTGCAACTAAGGCCTGCAAAAACAAAACAAAACAAAACCCAAAAAACCAAAAAGCAGAAAACAAAAACAACAACAAAAAAAATGACAACAAAAACAATAAAAAAAAAATCCACCAAGGGTTTGCTGTTTTCTGGGCACTGATGGTTAAATTTTCCACAATAACAAGAAAGCAGACTATAAAACTGGCATTATTATATACTGACAAAATTGCATATAATTTCTTAGAAAATATATATATTGAAATCCTGGTTAGATTCTCTACTGCTAAAACACTAGAGAATTAAAGTGTAAAGAGAGAAAAAAGAATATCAAAATCAGATTAGAATTCCTCTTGCTGACATTGGCCCTCATACATAGGAGACTGAAAAGATGACGGTGGGGGCATCAGAATTGTTTCAGCAGGTCCCAAGGGGTACATTTAAAAAAATGTTCCTTATTTTATCATGTATAGATAAAATACATAAAATAGTAGTTAATTCTATGTATTGTTTCACTTGATTCTCTTTCATTAAGACTCATTTTATTGCATTTGATATACTGAAATAATTTATTCTGAATCAGTATTTTGAATTTCTTCATTCAAATATTTGTCATTGCTAGTGAGCAACTTTCTGAAAATCAAGTAAATAAAATATCATCTGATAAAAAAGTAGGAACATTGACATAATTATTTTACATTTCTTTATAGCCATTTTGTCTAAATGTTATCTTTCTAATTATCGTGAAAGAATATACATCTGATCAAAGCACGTGAGAAATGCAAATACAACTAAAACAATTAACCAGTGTTCCTTGCAGCAAATATTCTGATTTCGAGGTATTATATTTATTCCAGAAGAGTCTACATTCTAACTTAGTGGTTATTTTATAATAAAGGAGCATGTATATTCCTCTTCATTGTTAGCATTCCAAATAGTCACCATTTATTTCGGAACAGTTAGACCAGGGATGCACTACCAGAAGCGACGCTGTACAAAGTTGTTGTTCACACAGATAAACATCCTAAGTAAGAAAGCAGACGCTCCTGTCACCTTACCTTGTTAAAACCCGAGACCTGGTTATCCATCCCTTTACACTGACAAGAACAACCTTCAACTCAGATCTCTTGCACAATACAAGTCATATCTTCATACCCTTGTTCAAACTATTTGATGGCTGAAAGACTTGTGCCCTGCCTATATATGCCCTGTATCCATGAGTTTGGCCAAAATGTTGCATTGTTCTTTCGCCAAATTATGAATTCCATAATTAGAAGGATATAAAATACTAATACATGAATTTGAATTATCTGTTTGTTTGTTTGTTTGAATTAGGCATTTCCTGAAGCCAAAGAAAATGAGATCTACACTGTTTGGTCACAACTCCCATCCCTGCAGGGAGTGGACAAAGAATCCAGGGACCTGGCTGTTTACAACAACATGCGCTGCTTCCGCAGGGATTCCCACAAGGTTGACAACTACCTTAAGCTCCTGAGGTGCCGGATTGTCCATAACAACAACTGCTAAGCCTACATTCATTCTGCCTACTTCCTAGATGGTCCTCAAATGCCTATTTCTTCAGAACCTTCTATTTGCCTTACAGCTTTCAGTGCGTGCTCGGGTGCAGTGGGTGTCTTCTTAAGAAATAAAAACTAACTTTTAAAAAACATCAATGTCTGAAAAGCAATCTGTCAGTGTTTCCTCTGTTATTTGATAGGAAATCTTTCGCCTGCCACATCACGTTATCAAATTCGGTCACTAATCCCAGGAGTCATTCTGATCTTATAACTAATGCATATGGCAAAAGTAGTTTACAATCATAGAAAGTTAATGGAGGACCAAGATTTTTAGAATTGAAGAAGGAAACCACTATTAACAAGTTCATCCAGGGTACCAAAAAAATGTAGAAAGCCAGATCATTTCTATGAGGCAATTTTCTAATATAGGATTGGATAGCTCAAGTGCTATGGAACTGACTTGCCTGTACAGAGTTTACAACAGTCTAAATGTGGTAGAGTAGAGCCATGTAGCATCCCTGGGTATTTCCAAAAATTGGCTTTAGCAATTCTCCTTGGGACTCTCAAGTCTTTACATTAATCATTTTACTCACTGTGACAGGGTGAAGAAACTGAGGTTTAGGCAGAATGATAGCAGATAACAGAAAATTAAGTAGACAGTGATATACTGTTTCCATTCATACTGAACTAATCAACTCATTCTTGGGAGAAAAGAATTCATTCATGATTGAGGACGAACCATACTGTAGGAGACTTTATTAAAAATATTCTTATTATTCCTACAGAATCAAAATCAAATGACAGATTTTTTTTCACTCTCTTGAACTTGGTCTCTGTGTGTAACTTTCCGTGACATCCTTTGCTTATTGGTGGGAAAAGGCATCTGGAAAAGCAATACATCTAATAGTTAATTTTTTTTTGCAAAGGTACCCATAAGACATAGGAGAAGATGTGCCTGGCATTTATAAATTAATTAAATTAATGTTGGATTAATTAAATTAATGTTGGTGCATGGGGTTAGTTTCTTACCTATGAGATTTTGGAGAAGGGTGCACATGATGTCCTTAATTTGCAAATGCTTCTAGAACTATTGCTGATTTCACAGCAGAACTAACTGCTTAGACCACATTACTGAAGCTACTGAAAAAAACTTTGCTGCAAAACAAAAACAACAACAAAAAACAAAGTTTTTAATAATATAGAAGTTTTCAACCCTTAAAATGGCTTCCATGGTACCATAAGCCATTATGCAGAATATTTTAGGATAAGCGCCAGCAATTGTTATAACTCAGCAACATGATGAGGCCATCAGCAAGCCTGGCCAAGATTGTCTACTAATGAAAGAGATGCACAATAGTTACAACTGCTCTCAACAGGTATCTGATTTCACTTAAGGCTCTCCCCACGTAAGAAAATTCAGATGTTGTATCCAAAGGCAATAACAAAAACAGATGGAAACAAAACAAAACAATAAAAAACAGTGCTTAAGGAGGTCATGGTCTCCACCAATAAGACTATGATCAGATTTTTCTGATAAAGGAATATGATGTTCCTGTAAAAGTGCCTTCTAAACATTTGTCTTCATATCTGTTCATTACTGGAACCGTTACCTAGTCTGTTGAGAGAAACATTTTACAGTGTTGATGGTTAAGGAAAGAAACTTGTGCTCTGTTAAAAATGCCTAGGATTATTGACTGTTGATGAGATGGAATGGTTCAGTGCTAGTAAAAGCACTGAAAGCACTTATCATCACCTGATGCACTTAAGAAGTGTTGGAGAAAACATGACAGGCATGAGATCTTGAACTAAGGCAAAGTATTGAGGAATAAGTCTGTTACTCCTGTCAACTTGGAAATGAGTAACCATGGAACTCAGACAGATTTGGAGAGTTACAGAATGACTTGAAGCCTAAAAGTAGCATTGGGGGAAGCAAGGAGACACATAGCAGTAGGACTGTGTTAAAGGTAAATCAGATGTCAATATTCCCTTAGGGGAGAGTGTCACTGATCTATAGACATTGATCCAATCTGCCCCCTAGTTCTACTTGACTCTGAGTATATCTGTTTGTATTTATTGGAGGTTGAAAGCTGACTGAAAGCAGTATTGAGGTGAAGCAGCTTTCCTGAGTTGGGGACCTCAACTGTGGTGTTAGTGCAAAGAGATGCATCTGACTTTGACTCAACCATGCTCCTGTAAGTAGCCTCCTGCCATGTTCCACTAAAGTTTATCATCATATTATTTTATTGAGGTGTGTTTGGACAGTATTTTTTTATGGTGTTATCAGTGCTGTCTCTTTTAAGAACCAGTGTTTGATCATGTATCACCTGTAGACAAGGCAATGGAGAGAAGAGGAAAGAACTTTTTAGAATGTAATAACTCAATCAACTTTGAGATCCTTGATTTTCATCTGCATTGTCTTTATTGACAGACTGGTAAAAGGGGACAGTGTTACTAGTATTTAAGGGGTACCTTGTAGGAAGCATTTTCCATTGCATGATCTTCTCTCAAAACAAGAAATACTACAACTCAAATGACTAATTTAAATATCTGAGAAATTGTTCTTTATGGAGAATTCAAAATTCAACGGTCTAATTGTTTTAGCTTCAGAAAGAAGCAATTGTAATTATTTTTGGTCCCCAGAGCTTGGATATATATTTGCTCACTTAATACATCTACCTGAATAAAATTCTTTTTCTGAAGCTTAACGTAGATGATGTTTACAAGTTTGTGTCTTCAACAATTTGGAATATGTCAAATGACTTATAAAAGGAAAAACACTCATGAGCTAATGAATAATCTCAACATTTATGGGTATTTACAAGAAAATGAATTAGTTCCAGCCATCAACTTTATTTACTGGAATGAAAAATGAACTTAAACTCCCAAGACTTTCAGACATGTGCAGACAGTGACTTGAGACTCTAGCTTAGGGTTCATCAAAGCTTCATGTGTTTGCAAAGTTGAGAAGCCCTCCTTTAGCAAGGCCAAACTGTGGGAAGACTTTTCTTGCTTCAAACTATGTATGGAGAAATGTATAATTTCTCCTATAATTACCAATTATAAAACCATATTTGTTCCCCAGCCTTATCAAACCAAATCATGTAGCAGAGGGCCCACAGTACAGACAATATTCTCAGATAATTTAACTGCTGTAATCTCAATTGAATGGATTATCTCATTTCGTTTCTTTTAAAGTAGGGATGATTCTGTTGCTGCTGTTGTCAAATACGCTCCTTGGGGAGCATGTGTCCTCCAAACTAACTGTCTTACCCAGAGAACACCTGTATCATTGTGTGGTCGAGCGATCTCACACAAACTCTGTCATGTCCGCAGACATATACAATGAGTTGGTAAGTTCCTTGGTTGCTTCTTGTTTTGTTTATTTATTTATTTTTTGTCTCTAATGAGGCTTCAGAAATTGACACTAATTAACCAATGTTTACTGACTTTTGACATGATAAAATTTTGTAGGTAATAGAAATAATCAGATATAAAAATGGAAATCAGAGAATCTGGGAGGTTTAAAAAAAACCTTAAAAGATTATAATAATGAAATACGTTTTTTACAACAAACTTTTAAAATAACAACTTAAATTAAACTTCCAATTTTGACTTTAGGCCCCAAAAGAATCGTAAGGAGGAACTGAAATGTCTTGGTCTTTTGTGGTAGGATCCAGGCTTTGTGGAAATCATGTCAAAGCTCTGCAGATATTCAGTGTAAAAAAATTATACTGCGATAAATTTTACGGACAGAAGAAAACTAGAATAACCTGAAAAATATGTAGATGAGCGGGGTGGGGAGGCACATACCAAGATGGCTTCCAACTCAGATACCTGCCTTTCTCTGCATCTTGAGTGCTGGGATTAAAGGCGTGGCCGACTGCTATCACGACCTTGTTTAGCATTTCTACTGGAGAGCCTCTCATGGCGAAAGAAAGCTGGTTTAGGAAGAAAATATGTCATAAAATATAGGATAAACATACTAAAATCTATAGCCCCAAAGAAGGTAAACAACAAGGAGGACCCTAAGGAAGATGCTTAATCTTCATTCAGAAGGGCAAACAGGATAGCATCAGAAGTAGGAGAAAACAGGGAACAGGACAGGAGCCTTCCACAGAGGACCTCTGAAAGACTCTACCTACCAGAGTATCAAAGAAGATGCTGAGATTCATAGCCAAACATTGGGCAGAGTGCTGAAATCCTTATGGAAGAAGGGGGAGATATAAAGACCTGGAGGGGACAGGAACTCCACAAGGACAGCAACAGAGGTAAAATACCTGAGCCCAGGAGTCTTCAGACACTGATACTCCAACTGAGGACTATGCATGGAGAGGACCTAGATCCACTGCCCAGAGGAAGCCCACAGGCTGCTCAGTTTCCAAGCGGGTTTCCTAGTAAGGGGTACAGGGGCTGTCTCTGACAAGAACTTAGTAGTCGGATCTTTGATCACTTCCCCCTGTGGGGTGCTGCCTGGCCAGGCCACAGAGGAAGATGATGCAGCTAGCCTTGATGAGGCCTGATAAGCTAAGGTCAGGTAGAAGGGGAGGAGGTCCTCTCTTATCAGGGGATTGGGGAAAGAGCATAGGGAGAGAAGAAGGAGAGTTAGTGGGACTGGGAGGAGACAAAGGAGGGGGCTGCAGCAGGGATACAAAGTGAATAAATTGTGGTAAATATATAAATATATATTTAAATTAAAAAAGAAAAAAATACATCCTCTGACAGAGACATGTGATCTCTGAGTTCTGTCAAGGAGAAAAATAAAAGATAAAGAATCCAGAGAATTTGTCTTTAGAGTTGTAGTGAGTATACAACCCTAATGTGTTTTTCACTCACTAGTGTTTCAGTCTGTTATCCATTCACTAACTTTCAACTGCAAGGCATTACCAGAAATCTTTTAACCACGTAGAAATGCTCTGATTGAGGGTCTTAAATTATTTGCATTTTAGAAAATAAATACCTTGAGAAAATACAATCCACAAGTGATAACTACATAAATTTCAAGTAATATTTTGTGAATTCTACCTACAGGCATAGATAAATATATCCTTAAAATAAGCCTAGGTTACATATTTTACTCTATCAGTATTACTCCATTCCATTTTCATCATGAATATTGTGTTAGAAACATAATGATGTCGCAGAATATTAGAAA